GGAGGGCCCAGCCTCTCCTCACACCCCCCGAGGGGCGAACCGCGAAGCGGCCCGTCGGCGGCGGCGGCGGCGACGACGGCGTCGCCTCCTCATCGCGGTGACAGCCGGGAGGCCCGCCCACCCAAGCCGCGCCCCCTCCTCTCGCGAGATTCATTCGCGCGCGAGAGAGAGAGGGGGGGGAAGGAGGGCCTCCCGTCCCCCCATCACCAGAGAGACGGAGGCGCGCGTGCCAGAGCGGACGGCTCGCCGCTCTCTTTCGCTCCTTCCGAGAGGGGCGCGGCTTCGGATTTGCATAGCCACCGCCCCGGAGGCGGGGCCTGCGAGCCTTGCCCGAAGGATGACAGAAAAGAGATTTTTAAAACGAATAATTGGGCACGTGTAAAAAAAGGGGGGATGCGGGTCGTTTTTAAGTCGGGGATGGGAACCCGTGGCTCAGGAGTTGCCTTCAGACGTTATGGAGGCTTCATTATTAACCAAGGAGAGAAGCAATCTGGAATTAAGGAGAAACTTCCTAACAGTGAGAAGAATTAACCAGTGGAACAGCTGGCTGTTCCATCACTGGAGGTTTTTAAGAAGAGACTGGACAGTCACTTGTCTGAAATGGTATAAGTTCCCCTGCTTGAGCAGGGGGCTGGACTAGAAGACCTCCAAGGTTCCCCTCTAGATTCTATTCTATTCTATTCTATTCTATTCTATTCTATTCTATTCTATTCTAATTCTAATTCTAATTCTAATTCTAATTCTAATTCTAATCTGTGTCTATCCTATTCTACTACTGAACTCCTCACCCACTGCTGAAGATGTCCCCTTTTGAGGATGGCCTGGATGGAAAAACACATTGTGCAATTAACCAGCTTCCCTCCAGAAGTTGTGGGTGCTTCATCACTGGGGTTTTTTAAGAAGACACTGGACAGCCACTTAGATATAGATTAACAGAGTTGGAAGGGACCTTTTAGGTCATCTAGTCCAGAGGTCGTCAACCGGTGGGCCGCGGCCCACTGGCGGTCCACGAGAATATTTTGGTGGTCCGCAGAGAAATGTCAGCCCCAAAGCAATTAATCCAGGCTGCGGGGGAACACAAGGCTGCGCCACCCACATGGCCTGCGGGAAGACAAGGCTTGTGCCGCTTGCATTGCAAACGACACAAGGTAGTGAGGGGAGTGGGGGAAAGGGCAGAGGGGGGGAACTTGCCCCACTTGCCTTGCCTGGCCACCGGGCTGCTTCTTGCCACTTCTTTCTACTTCTGCTTTTGGCTGCAGGCAAGGAAAGCAGCCGAAGTCTTTCTTTCTCTCCCCCAAACTCTGCCAGAAATGAGTCTTTGGGACCCTGCAAGGCCTCCTGCTCCAAGAGGCTGCACTGGCGAAGACTCATTTCTGGTGGAGTTTGGGGGAGAAAGACTTTGGCTGCTTTCCTTGCAGCCTGAGTACGGAGCTCAAAGCAGGCTAGGAATGGAGCTGCCCTGGAGGGGGTGGGGGGGTGGGTGAGGGAGAGGGAGAGAGAGAAAGAAAATCACCAGCCCTTGAGGTTAGATGGGATCTCTCTTTCTCCCTCCTTCTCCCTCCCACCAATGTCAGCAAGCCACGTCAGTCAAAATTCACATTAGTGGTCCGCGGGATTTAAAATAATGAGTTTGGTGGTCCCTGAGGTCCAAAAGGTTGGCAACCCGCTGATCTAGTCTGACTCCCCCACCCAAGCAGGAGACCCTACACCATTTCTGACAGATGGCAGTCCAGTCTCCTCTTGAAAACTTCCAGGGATGAAGCTCCCACAACTTCCAAAGGCAACTTCTGTTCCATGGGTTGATTGCTCTCACGTCAGAAAATGTCTCCTTATTTCCAGGTTGAATCTCTCCTTGTTCAGTTTCCATCCATTGTTCCTTGTCTGCCCTTCGGGTGCTTTAGAAAGTATGACCCCCTCCTCTCTGTGGCAGCCCCTCAAATATTGGAACATGGTATAGGATCTCCTGCTTTAGCAGGGGGTTGGGCTAGAAGACCTCCAGGGTCCCTTCCAGCTCTTCTGATTCTGATTCGAAAACTGGAATCCCAGTATTTCAAACAGTTATTGCTCTTGGTCTGCTTTTTTTTTTTTTGGCAGTATTTTTAAGGGTACTGTATTAATGCTCCCTCTTTCTAAGGCACAGGTAGTCCTCGGCTTACGACCACAATGGAGCCCTAAATTTATGTTGCTAAGGGAGACGTTGGTTGGCAAATGTTATGTTGCTAAATGAGACAATGAGTCTTCCCCATTTTACGTCCTTTCTCACTACGGTTGTTGAGTGAATCATTGCCACCGTTAAGTTGGTCACATAGTTGTTAAGTGAAACTGGCTTCCTCGTGGACACTGAATATGAGTCAGTTGCCTTGAATAAAATAAAAACAATGGAAGTATGATGTAAAAAATATATGAGTCAGTTGCCTCCTTGTGCCCTATCCATCATCGGGTGTTGGCGATCATGTTGGCAATCCTATTTTTATCAACAGTCGCACGAAAAACATTCATTCTCAGAGACTCTCCCCATCCTGCTTACAATCTTTATGAACTGTTGTTGCCTTCTGGCAGAAGATACAGAACAATTAAAACTCAGACCACACATTTTCTGAACAGTTTTTATCCCAGAGCTATAATTGTACTTAACAATGAACTTAAGGACCACCATCAGTGAGCTGTTGGACAGGATTACTTGGTCTGTTGTGTGGATGCTTGTGTGTTTTTAGGAGGTGGGGAATTTTGGCGGGTGGTGAGGTGTTTGGGGATTGTCATATGTGCATGCGTGTAGGGTCTGGTCTCTGAGTGTTATGTGAATTTTGTTGTGTGTATACTGTGTATATACGTACGATGACAATAAGGAATTCAATTCAAAAGTGCTGCTGAGTTTTGTCCAAACTGGCCCCTTAAGAGATTTTGAAGCCATTATGTTTTTCTTCTGCTTGGACCTTGCTTGCCTTCAATCTTTCCTTGGAGGATTAAGTGAAATATGGTGTATTTTTCCGGGTGTCACATCAAATGTCCGAAATATTCTATTGTGTTTCCCCGAAAATAAGACCCTGTCTTATTTTTATTTATTTATTTGCCACCAAAAAAGGCACCAGGTCTTATTTTCGGGGGATTTCACCCACTGACTAACCTCACGTGGACGTGTTGCCCCCAGCCTCCTTTTCACTGTTAAGAGGCCTTCAGGAACTTCTTCTGTGTCCAGCAAGGCTTTCTGGTAGGCCTCTGCAGCCGATAACAGAGTTTGGATCGATCCAGAGCTTTGTCATCAGCTACAGGGGCCTTCATTAAAGCCTTTCTGGCTGCAGATGAAATAGGCCGGCAAGGCAGGTGTCAGGATGTGCGAGGCCTGGCTACACCTGTCCAAAGGTAAGTAGTAGGGCAGCTCCACCCCTCCATCCCCAGCCTAGCTTAATTTTTACCCGTCCACTCTGGAGTGGGCAGGATCTTAATTAGGGCTTATTTTGAGGGGTAGGGCTTATATTGGGTGCATGTGTAAAAATCAAGCTAGGACTTATTTTCAGGGTAAGTCGTATTTTCAAGGAAACAGGGTAACTTTGGCTGTTTAATAGTTTTGATGATTTTCCTGCCAAACGTCCAAGTTTTGATTGCATGACCATGGGGATGCGGCAATGGGTCATGTGTGTAAAACAGTCCTAAGTCACTTTGAACAGTCACTAAAAGGAACTGTTGTAAGTTGAGGACTACCTGTAATATGTTCAATGGCAAAAAGGGGACTCTTGTTCCTTGCCCACACAAAGCTTTTTTACTCACCAGTGAGGATGCATAAAAGGATGTCTGCGTATTTCAGCGGTCTGATTTTTGTAGATGGCCCCCAAGCCCCTTGTAAAACAGACATTGCAAGATTTAGGAGCTACTTTATAAGGTCAGCAGGGAAGCTTTAAGCTTCAAAATTACACGATCCTGTCAGCCAGAAGCAAACTTTATTCCCGTTACAAATCAAACGGAAAATTTGGCATACATGCCTACACAAAGCAGCCACAAGATTATCAAAGCTCTCAACGTCATAACTGGAGCTGTCTGGCCAATGGATGCTTTTTCTCAAAACTGGGCAGCTCCACCCGTGTTACATACACAATTTGCTTACAAACACACCTGGAGTCAAAGAAAGAGTCTTTTACACCATTGGGAGCATACCAATCAAACAGGACCTCCTGTTAACACGAAAGCACACTAAAAAGCAGACACACATTTACAAAAAGCCAAGGATAAGAGGTCATAACATTATAAACAACCTTCTCAAAATATCAGCAACCTGACAGGATTGAGTTCTTTGATCATTTATGCCACTGCCACTGGCATTTCAGGAAAAGCATGCAATCAATGACCCCACCTCCACAATTAATATTTTACATCTCAGGGTTTTGTTTTTTGTTTTTCCTTGAAAATGAGTACCCTTGTAACTGCAGTTGATCCATTCTTCCTGGGAGATATCTAGCTTGTTTGCATTATCACAAAAATGTATACATTTATAACTGCTTCAAGACACAGAATTGCCTGGATGAAGACGATGGTATGTTTCTAACCTTTCCAGAAAAGAAGAAAAATATTGTACTTTGTAACCTGCAGGGACCACGAACAATAACATTTGAATTTCAGACTGAAGCGATGAAAATGGAATCTACGTTTCATTCTTGTGAAGCTTGCCAAACAAGAGTAGACCAACAACAGTGCTTTTAAGACATGTCCAGTCTTTGTTAAAAGAAAAATAATAAGGACGTTGCCTTGATTGTGCATCAATCCTTAGCCATGATGCAGTTTATTGCAAACATGACAAAGTTGCACGTTTTCACCAAAAAACAACAACAACCCAGATGCTCTGGTTAAGGCCTCCAAAACCGAAATGTAACCAACGTTTGTGTTGAAAGCACGTTACAAAATTCTGGGTGTGTTGCAAAACAAAGGCTGAAAAGACTCTTTACATCATATATAACATATAAATATGTAAATAACAACAGTTAAAGCACCACTTTTTGTTCAACCTTTCTTGGCTGCTTTAATATCATGGGGAGAACGGCAGTTCTTCAAAAGCCTGCAGGAACATCGATAGATGTGGGGGGGTATATTTACATGCAGGATTTGGAGCCTGCGAGTGGAGAAAGCGAGGGGAAATCTTGATGCTCCTGCAACAAATCGGGCCCTTTAAAAAAAAAAAAGAAGAAATTCCCCTTCCCAAACAACATCTATTCATAGTCTATTCTGACCTCCGTGATGGCATCCAAGCCGGGTTTGTCCACGCCGGCCCTTCCGTGGACGGAGGTCAGGTGTTTCTTGAGGGCAGACTTGTGCTTGAAGTCCATGTCACAACAGTGGCACTTGTAAGGCCTGTCCCCGCTGTGGATGTTGAGGTGGTCTTGAAGCGTGCTCTTGGCGGTGAAGGTCTTCAGGCACACCATGCATTGGAAGGGACGGATGCCCATGTGGCCACGGATATGCCGGTTCAAGTTCTTCTTCTGGGTGAATGTTTTCCCGCACTGCAAACACAGGAACAGCTTGTGCATCTTTAAGTGGCGGAGGTAGTTTTCCAAGTGGAGGAAGCCTCGGGGGCATTTGGGGCACTGGTGCCGCCAGGGGTAGCCCGCACCCTCAGAGTTCGGGAAGACTTCCGGATCCTCGCCGGCAAAGCCCTGGAACTGGGCCACCTCGCTCGCCCTGCTCTCCATAGTGGAGTTGATCAAGGAGTGCTGGGTTTCAGGGAAGTACAGGCTGGTTTTCGAGGAGGTGCAAGGCTGCGGAAACGGCTCATCGTCCACGCTGTGGACGTTGATGGAATCCATCTGGAAAATGCAGATTTCATCGTCCTTGTAGCCGATCTCCACGGTGGATATCTCCAGGCTACTGGCCTCCTTCCTGTCTGACATTAAGCCCTGCAGGGACGCTGGCTGAATGTCCCCTTTCTCCTGTTTTATGTGCTCGTCTACGCTCACCGGGCTGTCTGCCGATATCTCTATGATTTCGCAGTCTTTACCCAGGTAGCTGTCTCTGCTGCCCAGGTCCATGTCAGAGGAGTGGCATTTCTCGGCACACCTGCCGCTGCCTTCGACCGAAGCATCGATTTCAAGGTACCTGGAAAGGGCCTCCGTGCACTTCTCCACGATGTGCACCATCTGCAGGTAACTGGCCGCCGTGAGGTATTTCAGAAGCTCCTTCTTCTTCACTTCCAGAGCCCCCGTGTAGCACGAGAGCAGCAGCTTCCGGCCGACTTCGGCGCTCTGCAAAATGGTAATCCGGACGTGCTGGGACTGAGTGAGCAGGAACTGGTCCCTCATGAAGGTGGAGCAGGCGGCGAAGATCACTTTGTGCCCGTGGAACTCCGTGTCGTTGATGTAGACGGAGACGTCGCAGAAGAGGTTCTGCTGCCGCAGCAGGTTCATCTTCTGCAGCACGGCGTCGCCCTGCTGCTCAAACCGGAAATGGAGCACGTCCGAATCGGCAGCCATGACGACGATCCTGCGGGGGAAGAGGGGAAAACGGAATGAAAAGGAAGCTCAACAGCCTGAAACCAGCCATTCCAGAAGAGTGACAGCCTCGGCCTAAGATGCTTTTGTGCTGATCTCTCTACAGAGGCTGTGAAAACCAACCTGTTCTTAGTGCTCCTCCAGAATAGGGATGAAAAAAAAAGGGAAGGGAAGGGAAAGGAGAAACGGAAGGGGAAAAGAGGGAAGAAAAACGAAAGGGAGTGAAGGAGGAAGGGAAGGGAAAGAGAAAAGGAGAAAGGGGAAAGGAGGAAGGGAAAGGAGGGAAGGGAAGGAAAAAGGGAAAGGAGAAAGGGAAAAGGAAGAACCCAATGCATTCATCCCTACAGCTCTGTCTCCTGAGATTAAAGTTTTGTATCCGGACTCCCCAAACTCTTCAGTTCTTCATGAACTTCCAGTTTGTTCATTGACCCCCCCTCCCAAGACATTACATGAATACAATTTAATAAATACCAATAATGCTTCCACTAATAAGACCGGTAACAAGCATTTGTCTACCCCAGGTCCCTCAGGAAGGACCCAGTGAGTTTAAAAAAACAAACCCAAATCCAATCTCCACATCAGGCTGACCGTGCGATGAACCATATATAATAACCTCACCTATTTTGGGGTGGGGGTGTTGATATTGTCCCCTTCGGGTTGCCCTGCCTGATCCTCACCCAAAGATCGAGAGCCTGGAGGCTTTTGCAGAAGAGATTATTAGACAGCCATTGATGCAGAATGGTCTAGGGTCTCCTTCTTGTGCCGGGGGTGGGGGTTGGACTAGAAGACCTCCAAGGCCCCCCTCCCAACTCTTGTTGTATCCTGCTTCCACTCCACATAGCGAGTGGCTTAGAGGTGGAGTTCTCTGCCTCACAATCAGGAGGCTTGCCAGTCCGATCCTCGGTAGAGGCTAATATTTGGAATAAGATTCTCCTGCTTTAGCAGGGGGTTGGGCTAGATGACCCCCTTCCAACTCTCTCGTTCTAGGCTTGGGATCCTTTTATAAGCG